AGGGCAACACACAAAATACTCAGCTTTAAGCAAGAGCATGGAGAGTTAGCCTCTTTTCTTGTATAATGTTACTTCAGGTTAAAATCACAACTAGTTATTTTTAACTTCTCATGACCACAGACCACCAAAAAAGCAGCTATATTACTGTTTTAAAAATATTCATAAATAAATGTCTGTAACAGACTGGCTCTATAAAATTCATTTCAGTGCTGACTAAATCCAGAAATTAAGCTATAGCATTAACATAAAACATTTTCCTAATCCTTTTCAACACAAGAAAACAAGATGAAATGTCTATTGCCCTGAATCCAGGCTTTAACTGAGATTTAAGGACAGAACTTGCTCATGGTGGGCTGTGTGACTGTATGTCATTTTTTTTTTCCATAGGGTGATCTTACTTCAAACTCAGATTATATCTCAGATTATAAGAATGTTTTACATTTAGATGACACATTTTTTTTTAGGGAGCTTAAGATATTCTGCAAGATCTGCCAGAAATGATATCTCTCTACAGCAAACTCCAGACCAGAAGAAATTATTTATCAAGCAAGGTGAGTGACACATTAGCAATCGGACACAGCGTGTGGGTCTAACTGTCTTTAAAGGGGATAGCAATGTGGTCCTTATTACAAACACATGGAACTCGGAAATGCACACACTTCCATTTTAAAATTAAGCCTGGACTTGTCCTTTCTATGACTTGGAATTAATGGTTTCTTAGTCAGTGATAAACGAGGTGACAGAAGAGTTGCAGAAAATAAAATCTTGGCGCACTAAGTGCTACCCTGCAGGTCATGGTTATGGGAGGTGCTGTGAAATGAAATGTCACATTACAGACCTAGGATGCCGGTGAAAAGATGCCCTCACCAGATGAACTCTTCTAAACAGTAATTTTTGTAGTTACTAAAGAAAATGAACTAGAATATCAAGTAGAACCTTTCCTTTATACATATATTCAAAATTTGACCTGAATTATATCAGGATGAATTTGTTGAAGAAAATTCTTTTTTGTTCCCCATGCTGTAATTTATTCATCAGAAGCCATCTGAGGAGAATGCACACTGGGAAGGAAGACCTGGGTGGGTCCTACAGCAGGACCACACTAGGGTCAGGCATGATTTTGACGAGAATAAGGCTCACTCTTTGGGTAAAGCCCAGCTCTCCCTAATTCTTCCCAGGAAGTATGACTCCAATTCAAATACATCTTAATGTCTAATTAATATTAACTAAAAAAATTTTTCATTAACAAAATATGAACTAATGACTTTCTAAAATACCTATTGTGTATGTAAGCAAAATTTTGCTTATATATTACTAATGAGATTCTTAAGCAACCACAGAAAATTTGAATCATGACAATATCAAACCAACAGTAAACAGTTTTGAAATGATTAAAAAATATTTTTAGTTATGAGAACTTCAAGCTTTCCCTTTCTATCTTAGCTCTTTTTGCTGATGACTAAAGTAAATTTCCAGGGCATTGTTTTCAACTATTCTACCTTTTTAAAAATAGGGAAATGGTCCCTAATAATACTTACTTTCATTAGCCATTTTAAATGTGAGGTTGAAAAATATCTGAGAGAAGAAGTGCCAAATACTGTGCAAATGGACCAACGTGCATCATAAATCACCACAGGATGGCTAACAAGGTCATAAAATAACTTTCATTTTGTGGTAGAATAAAAGGCTTATTTTAGAGTAAAACATTTGGGAACTCAAAGACTTGCCAGCTACCACTTAGACAATAATCTAATTTACAGTGGGTACATTTATACATTATAATAATTAATGTACTTGAAAAAACCCAATGGTACAAGATCAGTAACAAGACATTCATTTCTCATTCCATTCAGTAACAGAAGTTGCAGCAAGGACAGCTGAGCAACTATAAGAAATAAAGGATATCCTAATTGTAAAGAAAAAAAATCAAATCAACCATGTTTGTGGATGGTACAATTCTCTAACAGAAGAAACTATATAGTTCATGACCAAATTGTTAGCACTTATAAAGGAACTCAGCACAGCTGTGGAATACAAAGTCAGAGTACAGAAAGCAACAGCATTTTTATACATTAACAATGAAGTTACCAAAAAAGAAATTAAGAAAGCAAAACAGTTAAAATATTTAGAAAAACAGTAGCTAAGAAAGTAAAAGATATCTACAGGAAAAATTATAAAGCACAGATGAATAAAATGATAGAGGGTACACATAGGAGTGAGGAGGTATTTTATGTTCAAGGGTCAGAAAATTATGCAAAGCAATCTATAGAGCCAATGTAATTTCTTTATAACATAAACAATGTTCTACGTAAAAAGAAGGAAAGAATCCTAGAACTGAATGGGACCAAAAGAGACCCAGAAAAGTCAGGGTGATGCTGGAGCCAGGAGGAGGAAACTCTGTGTGTGTGTGTGTGTGTGTGTGTGTGTGTGTGTGTGTGTGTGTCATGACCTAGCCTTAAAACAGTGGGAGACGAGGGGCACAGCAGTGCAAGAAAACTCAGAAATTAATCCAGTCTTACAGCCATTGATTGTTGACAAAAACTTAAAAAATAAGAAATCTCATCAGTAAATGTTGCTAGCCATGTTGGATATCCAGAAAAATGAGTGCAGATTCTGTCAGTTCAGAATCTACAACAATCAACTCAAAATGTTACATCTCAAATTATGAAATTACCAAACAAAATATTCCCAGACTTTGGCATGTTCCAACATTTCCAATAGGACCCTAGAGGCACAAAAGGAAGAAGAGATAAATTGTTATCAAATTAAGAAATTTTTACACAGCAAAGAAAAACATCTAAAGAGAATGCAAATTATTCATCCAACAAGGGATTAATATTCAAAATACATATGAGGCTAAAACCCTGAACACCAGCAAAATGAGCAGTCCACTTGAGGTGAGCTACGGGATGAACAGGCACCAGAGGACACAGACAAGCTGCCTAGACACACACGAGCGTGCTCAGCTTCACCACCGCAAGAGGGCCACATCACAACCACAAGAGCACATCTTTTCACCATGTCTGGGATGCTGATTATATGCGTGCACATATTTGATACACACATCTATGTATTTTCACAATATATGTATACACATATATGAAAACAAGAAAAAACCAAATGCTAGTGACTGCATAGATAACAAGGGGAAGGAAGAAGAAAGATGTTCAGTGTGGAACAGGATTCTTGCTGGTTCTTAGTGCAATAGGGTAACTAGTGGATAAATTAATTTATGAGGTTCTTAAAAAGTGACTTGAAGAGTACAAGATGACCAACAAATAAAGACAACTACTGAGTAGACAGAAATTCTTACTATCCAGACATGATTATTATGCATTGTACACATGTGCTAAATTACCATGATGTATATGTTTTAGATATGTGCAAATACTATGCCTGAATTAAAAAACCTGGCCCTAATTTCAATCTTCAATTCTTAAATACCATACTTAATTGCTAATGATGAAAACTAGCTGTTAATAAAGCCCTCTTAGGATTAAGGCATGCATATCTCCTTTAAGTCCTCTTAGATCTAACCATGAGTATTGCAATGGCCATTCTTTCAATTTAATTTCAAAGTGCAGCATAAATTTGTCTACAATATGTATTCAATTTCCACTCTGATAAAATTATATTAACTGATACTAGGCTCATCTGTCAGTGATGTAGGAAAATTTTAATATAATAGTATTTAAGTCAACTTTGAGTCAACTGCAAGCATAAACTGGACCCAAACAGAACAAGGTGAAAGGAAATATTGATCAGAATAATACAGCATCTAGAGATTTGAAGTATGGTCTCCCTGGTTCAAATGTTTGTGTGAGTGTTCAATTTCCATCATTTGCTAGTTGCGTGGCCTTTTATACAAAGTAATTAACCTTTCATTCTTAGCCTTCCTTTAAAGCAAGAAGAATAGCAGTAAACTGCCTCAAATTTTGTGGTGAAGACATATGATACATAAGTGGTTTAGAATAATAAATGTTATACATTATGTACTCAAGGACTCTCAGGTAATATAGCGATTAAACTGGAGAGAGCAATTATTTCCAAAGCCCAGATGCTAAAACTGGTAAACTGGTGGGTCAGCAGCACTACAGATTGAAGAGAGTGCTATAAGATGCAGAACAGAGCTCGCAAGTCCACAGCATGGTGTGACTGGTGAATACTTTACTCTTGTGGAATAGCATGCACAGCATCTTCTGACACTAGGAAAGCCAGCCAGTAGGGATGAAGCTTTCAGGTCAGTATCTATTTGACTTTTTCATGTTTACAACTTAAGTAATATCTTCAGTCATAGTGTCTTACCATCAAATTCTGGAAGTTAACCAATATCAGTGTTTGGAAGTCTGTGGGAACACGATGGCCAGTAACTCAAAAAGAGGTAACTCTTCTTGGTACTGGGTTTTTATTTGCTCGCATGTGATGTCTAGTTGGGGTATTGTCCCCAATCCTCACAGTGATTGTGACAGCATGTAGAGAAGGCCAGCCTGTGAAAGATCAAGCCAAACAACCCAGTATGGAGGGGAGGGAGGAGTGAGCATAAGGTCCTATCCACATGAGACACTACCGGCATCTGCTGAGGAAGAGTCAGCTTCCTGACAATGGCAGGCCAGCCATGCTAAGGATCAGGCTCTACACCCATGAGTAATTAGGCAACACAAGGGGGGAGGGGAGAGGAAGGAGGGGGAAGAGGCTTGTGGAGGGAAACTGGAAAGGGAGATAACATCTGAAATGTAAATAAATAAAATAACCAATTAAACACACACACATACATACACACACACATACATACACACACACACACACAGAGAGAGAGAGAGAGAAACAGTTACATTTCTGGGATTCTGGGTGTAACATGCTGAGAACTCATTTCTTTGTTCTGTTCAGATTTCTTTGTTCAGAACCAGAGAGGATGTAGAGAAAAGGGAGTGGATACTGGTTTGGATCCAATTACCTAATTACATTAAGATAAGAAAGAAAGAAAAAAAAAACAGACTCACAAACTTATGAAGCTGGATGCATAGCTGGGGTGTGGTGAGGTGGATCTAGGAGTTGGGGAAGTAGGGTGAATGTGATCAAGAGACACAGAAGGAACCTTTCAAAGAAATAATGAAAAAACTATTTTAAAAAAGGTTTTAAAATAAAAACCGGCACTGTAAAACCATTAGTTAAGGCTAAAGTAAGCAAACTAAGTTGGTAAGTGTGATAGCTATCCTTGATTATCAATTTGACTACATGTAGAATTAACTAAAACCCAAGAAGCAGGGGTATACCTGTGAAGGGGTTTTCTTGATTGAAGTGGTAAGACCCAGCCCCCTAAATCCTGATCTTTTGAGGTAGGTGGGAAGTCCCGCCTTAAATCAGGGTCACACCCTTGTGGCAGCCTTTATAAAGGACATGGAAGCAGGAAATTCTTGTTCTTTGCCTGCTTGTGCTAATTCTCATGGGCAAGCACATTCCCTCATAGCATTCCAGCCTACTTCCTTGGTATTCCAGCATATAACTGGAGTATAGATTGGAAAATAAGACCAGATGAGACATCCACCTCCAAGCATTGAACAATTACTAGATTCTTAGACTTTCCATCTGGAGGCAACCATTGCTGGAACAGTCAGATCATAATCTCTAAGCCACCCTAATAAATCCTCTTTCCCTCCCTTCCCATCTCTCCAGAATAGATGCATTCTATCAGTTCTGTTTGTCTAGAGAACCTTAAGCAACACAGTAACCCAAAATAAAAGTCAGATAACAAAAAGTTAGTTGGGACTGATGAAGCTTGGCTGATATACATGATGGAACCAAGATATCTGCACGTACACTAGAGAGCGAAAAATAAAATGAGCAAAGAGAAGAAAGGGAGGGACAGTAGTTAGATATTCTAATCAAAACAGCCAGGAGTGTGTCATCTGAAGTCACTACAGTGAAAGATGCTGTCATGGCAGCAAAATTTGGGGCCTCCTGCTGTACTGATCAATTTGAGAACAGAGTTTCCTAAATCCAGTAAGAAGGCACACACACATCAAGTGTGCCTCCCAAACTATAAGAAAGACTGCTGATATTCACCAGAAAGACCTCTGAATAGCCTAGCATGATCAGTTAACATCTTGAAAAGAAAGCAATCACCATTAAGGTTTTCCCATTTAGAACTCCATGGGTGGCACCTATGATTTCTAATTGCATCCAAATTTTTTGTTTAATGAACAGTTTTGATCACTTTAATCAACTTCTTTTTAAATCAAAACTAGTCATACTGGCAAATGAGATAGCACTGAGAAATGTTAATTCAGTATGGTAGTTTTCTTTAAAAACTACGTTTTAGATGCAGGTGTGCTTTTAAAATAAAATTAACAAATTTTTAGAAGCTACTTTTCTGACTTTACTAGAAAAAAGTAAAAATAAAATTTTTAGTCATCACAAAGCAATACATGGACAAAGATAAGCTTACTAACACATTTTCAAAAGGAGAGCACATGGCTTCACAACTTTTCTTCATTTTAGAATACTTTAATTAAAACACAATGACCACTCCATAAAGATCCTAATGAAATGATATACAAATGAAACCTTTTCATGTTTTCTTCTAAACATTAGCAAACTTTACTTCAAAATATAATTATAAAAAATAGGACAGTCAATCTCAGGGCCCAAGCTTAAATTGCAATGTTTCTAAAATGTATTCAATTAAAATTAGTTTTAAACAACTCTGTCCATTTAAGTAGTTTGTTTACTCATTTGCTTCAGCATTCCTAACCATTAATAGAACATCTGACTTCCTTTGTTTATATATGTTTATTGCGTGTGTGTATGTGTGTGTGTGTATCTGTGTGTGTCTGTGTATGTCTGTGTGTACATGTGTGGGTATTCCCATGCTAAAGCACGTATGTGTACACCAAAGGATATCTTGCAGGGATAGGTTTTCCATTTTTGGAATATAGGACCTACAGACTGAACTCAGGCCATCAGGCTTGGTCTTCAGATAAACATTTTTTTAAAGATTTATTTATTTTATATATGATTTTATATATGATAGTACACTGTTGCTGTCTTCAGACATACCAGAAGAGGGCATTGGATCACACTACAGTTGGTTTTGCTGAGAATTGAACTCAAGACCCTTGGAAGAACAGTCAGTACTGTTAACCTCTGAGCCATCTCTCCAGTCCTGCTTGGTCTTCTTGTGGCCTCAGCATTTGATTTGATTTTTAGTGAATCTTGCCTAGTCAAAGCAATGAAATCTTTCATAATTCCCATCAAAATAAATAATTCTTTTATATATCTTGGTACTGGGAAGTTAAAAATTACAAATATAAGGCTGCAATGACATTTAACTTTTGAAATAACATACATATTTAGTAAAATGGGTCCCTGAATACTTAATATATCAAGATAGTTTATTTATTAATGATAAATAGATACTCTGAAGCAATTTCTTCTTAAACAGAATGACCAATAATAAATACTGTCCAATACATTTTGTTAAAATAATTAGGTTCAATTTCTTTTCCTGGGGAAAAATGAAGTCATAATTGAAATGAATTCTGAATGACCTTCATAATAAGTATTACAAACAGCACATTTTTGTCATTTTCAAATATATTTATATAAGATTTTATTAAGATGATTTCATCATCTCTTTGGCTTCGCAATTTCAAACTGTACTTTTACATTTTATTTTTAAAGAAAATGGCTCACAGTAGAGACAAGGGCACATTTACCTCTTCCCTTTCCCTTCAAAGTCAAAACAATGTAATTTTAAAAGGAAATTGGATGTGGTGATGTATACCTTTAACCCCAGTATTTAAGAGGCAGAGGCAGGTGGATCTCTGTGAGTTTGTGAGGCCAGTCTGTCTACATAGTGAGTTCCAGGACAACCAGGGCTACATAGTGAGACTCTATGTTAAATTTAAAAAAAAAGAATGAAAGAGAGAAAGAAAGAGAGGGGGGAAAGGAAGGAGGGAGAGAGGGAGGAGGGAGGGAGGGGAAATACAGCATATTGGGCCTGGGGTGTAGCTCATTTGGTAGAATCCTAATCCAACGTGCACAAAGCCCTGGGTTCCGACCTCATCACCACATAAGTCAGGCAAGGTAGCCCATATATGTAATCCCAGCATTTGAGTGGAAGCAGAAAGATAAATTGAAGATCATACACTCAATTACATAACTACATTGTAAGTAAAGCCAGTTTGAGACATAAGAGAACCTAGCTCAAAAAAAAAAAAAAGATTGCTACTTCAAATCAGACAATTTGAAGAAATTCTGTAAACTATGAATCAAAGGAGATTTGAAAACATTAGATTGTAATCAGATCATAGAATCCTGCAGCTACAAAAAGCAAAAAAGAATCGGTTGTACAAAGTCCATGACTGATCAGTAAAAGCAGGTACACATTATGCATTCAACCATGATTTCTGACAGTGGGGAGAACCAGAACAGGGAACAGGATTACAAACAGAAAGAGCTGGCAATAACCGGCATGAAGGGAACTCAAACCCTATGGCAGTGGTCCACGCAAAGGGCACCTCTCAGCCAAGCCTGCTCCTGAACTGCAGTAATTGGATGAAGAGTTGTCTAAGAAGACTACACTGCCTATGAAGTAAAGAAGGACTCTGATATGGGTTAAAGAACAAAAAGCCTCCAGGTATAAAACGGCTGCTCAGTGTAGCCTCTCAATTCCACATATAACAACGAAGATCACCAAACACGTGAGGAAAGCCTAGCAGGATTTCACAACACAAACACAACAAATTAAAGAAATAACCTGAAGACTAGGTAAAAACAACCACCACCACAAAAAGTCTTAGAGATGTTAATCTCTGTGAACTTTGAAAAGATACCTAACAAGGAATAAAATGTTTAAACAATAAAACAAGGACAGACTGACTGCCCTCCTTCCCAAGCCACGGATCATCTCAGCATGGGAAGACGGCCCTTCCTTCCTTCCTTTCTTCTTTCCTTCCTTCTTGCCTTCCTTCCTTCCTCCTTTCCTGCTTCTCTTCCTCCCTCCCTCTTGACCCATTTTCCCTTTTCCACTGTACACTCAATAAAATAAAGTAAATAAATAAATAAATAAACAAAAACAAAAAATACAGCTCAAAATTTTAAAAACAGAAATGACAAAATTATAGCCAAAACCATAGGTTGAAAATGAAAAAGAACTCAGAGATCTGTTAATCGAGAAGATAAAGGCAAGAGATTCTCCAGAACCCACTGGAAAAAGAATGATAAGGAAGACGGAAAGAAGTTTGGAAGTTACCTAGGAAAAGAGAAAGATAACTGGGAGGGGAAAATAACCACAGAGAGAAAGAAAAGTTCCCTTAGCAAATGACAGCTCCTGGCCTTGTCGTAAGGAGATGAGGCGTGGTTCCCACGGCAGACACCCAGCACAGCAATCTCACCCAGGCAAACAGCAAAAGTAACTTCAGGAAAAGCCGCCCAACCCAACACTGCGACCATTGTTTTTCTCCTACAGCCAAACTGTATCAAAGAGGATTCAATTCTTCTAACAGCTATGTAATCACCTGCAAGGACTACTGCCCAGTTAGTGCAAGTCACAAAGAAACCAGATGCTTAAATAATTCCAGGAAACCTATCTCCTTCCTCAACTACTTAAAAACCAATTAATACTAAGCTGCCCTTTAACACTGTTTGTCTTTTGACCATTCAATCACATAGAGATTCAAAAAAAAGGTCATTAGAATTAATTTTTGAGGTAAGGAAAAATGCTAACAATTTAAAAGATAATTATATAGGATCCTGAAAATAGCCACCCCACCCCATGCCCTGTGACGAACAGGCGTAAGGTAAAATAAACAAATAGGAACTTAAGTAGACAAATTTCCTCTAGAATATCAATTCTTCCAGAAACAGGAAATGCACGTATTTCTAAGACCCCTCAGTGAACCGGCCAGGTTGATAACTGCTGATCTAACACACATGGACTCTCAGAAAGGGAGGGAAACTGTGAGCAACATCCTTCGGTCACAAGGGGAAAGCTGCCATAAGCCAGAAACTCATGGTCTGGAAAAATAAGTCCTAAAAAAAAAAGAAGTACCTTAAAAAAAATCAAGTAGCCACATTTTCCGTTCACTTTTCATA